ACTCACCTCAGCCTCCCAAAGGCGCGGGATGACAGGCTGAGCCACCGAGCCCGGCGGAAGAGAAATTTGAACCTAATGCTATTTGCCTCCCAAGGCTTCACAGAGTCCCGACACTGGACCAACTCTGTGCACGGATCACTGATCTTCCTTAAGGAAATGACTGTCGTGGTCACAATAGCCTGGTGATTAGATCACACCATTTGATGGATGAGGAATGGGTAGCACAGAGAGGTTAAGGAACTTGCCCAAGGTCACAGAGCTTGAGCCAGGTACACTCGCCCTAGTGTTTGCACTGGCAAATGTCTCAAGGTAGCCACGAGGGCTCTGCCCCGAAGAAACCCGCGGGAAGACCATGGCCAAGAACGGGGCTGGCACGTCTCCTGGGTGTGGAGAGGAGGCATAGTCCTGGCCTGTCAGGCTCAGCCAAGTTCAAAAAACAAAGACATCTGTCATGATAAGATGCCTGTCCTCCTCCCTGAAACACCGGGAGCGTGGGTGCCAGGAACCTGGAGCGGCCCAATGACCCGCCCCTTTGCCAGCATCTGGGCCCGCCTTCTCCACCTGGCCACAGACCACACCACGCCCTACTGCTGGGCCCCGTGGGCACCGCAATGGGGTGGAGCCGTGGAGACCAGGCTCGGCCCGCAGGAAGGCAGCCGTGAAGGCTCGTGCTGTGCCCAGGGGTGGTCCCCAGGGCTGGAGGTCCTGAGCGGCGTGGAAAGCCACCCTCTGTGGGTCAGGAGGGACAGCCCCCATCCGTCCTTCCTCTGCACTCTGACCGCAGGGTGACGGCGGCAGGGCCCGCAGGGTTCCCTGCCCATGTGCCAACCACAGCACACACCCATTGCACAAGACCTGTTGGTGGCAGGCCCGGGCGGGGCATTTTCCCACACCCCGTCCCCTTCCATCCTCTCTCCGGCTCCCTTGATGTGGGGTCACGCGTTCCATTTTACAGGCACAGAAACTGAGGCTCAGCGGAGTCAGGGGACCCGATAAAGGGTAGGAACCTGGACCCAGGTCCTCCAGCACCGAGATTGGCCGGGGCAGGGTGGTGGCTTCCCACCAAGATGAGGACAAGCCATTCAGGGAAGAAACAGCCTGGCACTCAGCAGGGACTTCGGGTGCACACCACCACGTCTGCCAGGCTAATTTTTTGACCTTTTTTGTACAGACGAGGTCTTGCTATGTCGCTCAGGCTGATCCTGACCTCCTGAGCTCAAAAAATCCCCCCATTTTGGCCTCCCAAAGTGCTGGGATGACAGGTGTGAGCCACCTTGTCTGGCTTATTTTTTAATTTTTTTGTAGAGATGAGGTCTCGCTATGCTGCCCAGGCTGGTCTTGAATTTCTGGGCTCAAGCGAGCCTCCCGCCTCGGCCTCCCGAAGTGCTGGGATGACAGGCATGAGTCACCATGCCTGGCTAATTTTTTCTTATTTTTTGTAGAGTCGAGGTCTCACTCTGTTGCCCAGACTGGTCTTGAACTCCTGGGCTCAAGTGAGCCTCCTGCCTCGGCCTCCTGAAGTGCTGGGATTGCAGGCATGAGCCATCATGTCTGATCTACCTTTTTTTTCTTTTCTTTTCCTTTTTTTTTTTTTTTTGAGACAGAGTCTCACTCTGTCACCCAGGCTGGAAGGCAGTGGCCTCATCAGGGCTCACCTCAGCCTGGATCTCCTGGGCTCAAGTGATCCTCCCATCTCAGCCTCCCACGTAGCTGGGACTACAAGTGCAAGCCACCATGCCCGGCTAATATTTTAATTTTAATTTTTTTGTAGAGGCGAGGTCTCATTATGGTGCTCAGACTGGTCTTGAACTCCTGGACTCAAGCGATCCTCCTATCTTGGCCTCCCAAAGTGCCAGGATGACAGGTGTGAGCCACTGTGCCCTACCAGAAGAGACGTTTTGATCATCCTGAAAGACTCTGGGACTTTGTTTTAACTCCTTTTTTTTGACCCTTCTCTAAGGCTGTGAAGCCCTAACCCCGACATGAGGGTGTTTGGAGATGGACTTACCCAACAGATATTCATTCCTCACAGTTCTGGGTACTGCAGAGTTCAAGGCCAAGGTGCCGATGACTTTGGGAGGTGACCAGGTTTCAATGAGGCTTTGACGGTGGGGCCCCTATGGTGAACTGGCTCTCCCTCTCTCCGTCTCTCCTGCCATGCAGGGACCCAGGGAGCGGTGGCTGTCCCAAAGCCAGGAGGTGGGCCGGGTGAGCTGGCACCTTGACCTTGGACTTCTCAGTATCCAGAACCATGAGAAACAAGCATCCGCTTTTGAAGTCACCCTGTCTGTGGTCCATTCTGCAGCCGCCTGAGGTGATCGAGACCCCAGGTCCTGCCGAGGCTGTATTGGGTTGTCTTGCGTGTTGGTCTCCTGGGGCAGCTCGGGACAGACAGCACGTGTGCTTGTGCTGAAATCCGAATCCCCAGAGTGACAGTTAGAAGACAGGCCCCGGGAGGTGATGCGGTCACGAGAGCAGAGCTCTCGTAGAAGGGGTGAAAACCCCAAAGAAGGCTGCTCACCTGCACCCCTTCCGCCATGTGAGGACGTAGGGAGAGGGCGCTATCTGTGAACCGGGAACAAAGTCCTGACCAGACAGTGAACCGCCAGGGTCTTGACCTTGGACCAGGAACAGGGTCCTCACCAGACCGTGAACCGCCAGGGCCTTGACCTTGGACCAGGAAACGGGACCTCACCAGACAGTGCCAGGGCCTTGACCTTGGACCGGGAAACGGGATCTCACCAGACAGTGAACCACCAGGGCTTTCATCTGGGACCAGAAACCTGGTCCTCACCAGACAGTGAACCGCCAGAGCCTTGACCTTGGACCAGGAGCTGGGTCCTCACCAGACAGTGAACTGCCAGGGCCTTGACGTTGGACTAGGAACCAGGACCAGACAGTGAACTGCCAGGGCCTTGACC